TGTGAGAAGGGGCATTAGTTTATTAAGCCTGGTAAATGGTGAGGGTTATAGGCAGTCTAGTTTTCAGTAATAATGAAACCGTATAATCAAAAATGAACCATCAAAACGTGTTTTGTCATGGGACCCAATCGTACATATCTGTTGTAATTGGAGGCTGGCTTTTTTGCCCAGTATCTGGTCTTAAATGTTTTGCCATTGAAGTAAAACTTGGGGAAATATTGTTGTGGAGTACAGAATTTAGCAAGCTGGGCTGTTTCCGTTAGCTTTAAACATGGAGTTTGATGGTCACGGAGTGCATGTTGTTTTGGAGCACAGTGAGATAATAAGGAACATTTGGGGTGTGTATGAATATTTACTGTGTTGTTTTTCTGGAGAGATCAAATGCTCTGGTGTGGGTGTGTGATTTTCACGTCATCTTCTAATAATTTTTTTATGAAATGGTCAACATACTGAATTTTATGCATCACTGTATATATGAACCACCAGGCTTTGTCTCTCGTAAACCCTGGTAAAGTGTCATGAGAATTAAAAAAACAATTAAAACAAGTGTCATCTTTGTGTGTGTGCGTGCCTATGTATGTATTACATTGTGGGGATAAAAATAACAGGTTTTTTTATATCACATTGTGGGTACATTTTTCTGGTCCCCACTCAGTTTTGTAAAAATCACTGAATGCAAAAAAAAAAAAAACGCCGCCCAGTGTCTCATGCAGACAGTCCCTGGGTTAAGAATGTCCGACTTACAGACAACTCGTACTTACGAACGGACTGCCATAAAGTCTGAAATTTGGTTTAAGTTATGAATGCACACACTACTTTGTGACATTCGTGAAAATATGCATGGCTTCAGTGATTCGTTGACTTGAGGTACAATACAGTGCCATGTGTAGTTACTTTTATTATTACTGTTTGTTTTATTATTGTGGACGGTATTAGTTTTCCAACTTGCCTACAAATTCAGCTCAAAGACAGACTTAGAGAAAGGATCTAGCCTGTATTTGGTTACTTATGGTTAAGGTTAGGGCTGGGTAGGAGTTAAGGTAGTCATAGTTGGGATTAGAATTTTGCTCATAGAAATGAATGGAGAGTCCCTACAAAGATATGAAAACAAAGTGATTGTGTGCCTGTATGTGTGCTTGCGTATGCGTACTTGTGTGGCAATAGCTCTCAAGCAGACATCTCTGGGCTTTATAGGACCTGCTGGGAGCAGGATGGAGCTTGGTAGGTAGATCTTCAGTGGGGGTCTGTCCAAGCAAGTGTCGCGAGGTGGGGGATTAGCCATAGCCGGTCTGTCATGGTGGCGTCCGCCTCGTGGCTGAACAGCAGGCCTGGATTTACCTTCGTAACCTTCAACTTCCAGCCATAACCTGTTAATCCCTTTTGTGTCTGCAGACTGCTTTCTTGGATTTGCACAGTCAAAGTGTAACCATAGGAGTCAGTCAATTTACAATATACATGGTTTTTTATATGTATAAAATTTGGTGTAATATTTATCTGGATTTTTATAGTTATTCATAAAATTTTAGAAAAAGTAAACATAATTAACTTCAGAAAAACTTGCAGAAATGCCTCTGGGAATTTCATGCTGGCCAAGCAGTTCTTTGGTTTTTTTGGTCTTTTTCTTGGGAACTGGAGTGAACCCTCGGTGAGCTAATGGCCAGTTACAGCAGCCTCCGAGGGGAGTGTGACACCTTCGAAGAACAGAGGAACATGTGCGTTGCCTGGCAGATGCGTGCTGTGTAAATATGCTGGCCTGGCAGTACAAAACGACTGTTCTGCACAAGGCGCCGTATGGTACAGGAGTTGATTTCCTGTGTTCTGTAGCTTATTAGAACACAGCAAGGGAGTTTTAGTGCCCAGACATTCTGACTGCACAGCTCTTGCAACTTCTGCAGTTGGACTCAACAGGCGCACGGGCCCCCATGTACGTGAAAAAAGTGCCGCGCCTTTGTGTCCAGCACTGGCCTCAGGAGGTGTGGGGTGTCGAGCATCTAGAGAGTGGGATGGGTGGGTGATTTTTCCAAAGCCCTGGCCCCAGCTCGCGCACCAAAACACTTCTATTCGAGCCTATGTAATACGGGTCATAGTCCGGGGTTCACCTAAATTTGTGCTCCCCGCGTGAGCCGTCACAAAAGAGACGTCCCGCGGGGGCTGTTGTTCTTTGAGTGCCCCTCCTCCGTATGAATACGCATGTGTCCTGTGGTATGTCTGAATGGACAAGCCTTAATTCCCAGCCTTCAGAAGGGGCTGGCTATGGATCGGAGTGCTGTAGGTGTCTGCTGTGATTCCCATCCCCTCACCCATAAAATCGGCATAAAATTGACCTAACTCTGGAGGATCACATGGAGGGGGGATATCCAGGAAGTAATCCCCAAGAGAACTTAGTCTTCGTAATTCTTTTAAGATGGAAGTGTGTGAAATCGTGGAATCACATTATGTAATGCCCCCTCCCACATGCAACAAAAATTGCACTTCATTTCTGTTTTGGCAAAAACAAGTGATTTAAGTATTTTTATTTATTTATTTATTCTTGGGGGGTATAAACTACAGAAATACGATATACAAGCTACTTAAGGCCGACCTGCTACCTAACTCTGTACTTCTCCATCCACTCCCTGTTGTGGCCTTGACGCCTTATAGCCCCCGAAAACAAAGCTCATTTTCATGTCTGGTTATGTTTCCCTTTTTAATTTTGCTTGCTTGCTTGCAGAGCTGACCAAAAGGGAAGTCGTTCTGGGTCTGATTACAATACATCAATGAACTAAATATTTGCAGCATATTGTAGTGTAAAATAGTGCATACATTTTTAACTCATTTTAAACTCTATGATTTCAGGGTTGCTTTGCCCCCTTTAGAAAGTGAACTTCTTAAATTGTCAGACTGCTGTTACCGTTACCTTAGAGATAAATGGGTACAAATGTGGAGTATAAACAAATAGTTATGTGAGAGTGTGGCGATATTGGCCTGCTGTTAAAGCCAGGTGACACAGCCCATCTGGATGGAGCATAATGGAATGACCCATACTGACTGAAATATAGGATAGTTCATGTCTAAATCTTAAGCATTATCACACAGCTGAGCTTTGCCTTGTGTTCCTTAAGAATCAACATACTTTTGCTTCTTGTAGTTGACAACAGTGGTGATATCAGTTCTTTGAGTCTGACACGATCCCTTCTTGCAAGGGTTGTTCAGTGTTTTTGTAATGTGTGGGCTGAGGATTTGCTGCAGTGTTGCAGGCCAAAAGTCAGCTAATGTGGCCATGTACACACAGCTGGATTGCCACAACCTTCACCGGTCCTGATTAAACTCTCTGATGTTTGAGGAGAAATTTATTATTCTTGGAATTTGTCTGGATGTTGCATGAATTAGAGTAGCAGAAAGACCTATGAATTTGAATTGGCTGTCTCTAAAATGTTTGAGGAAGTTTTAAAAATGTCACTTTCATATTGTTAAGCAGAGGTGAAGAAACAATAATGAATTAATGCTTTTGGCTCCATAAATGATGAATCATACTGCAAGCAGATACAGGTATAATTTATTATTGTGCATAGATGTGGACAAGGGCAACACAGTGGCTCAGTGGGTGGCACTGTAACCATATACCTGCAGGATTAGGGGTTTTAATCCTATTTCTACTCTGTTACTGGAGTTGGCACATTCTTCCTTTGTTTGCATGGGTTACCTGTGGTTGCTCTGGTTTTCTCACTTCAGTCAGATAATTTGGTGTGTCTAAAGTTGCATCCAAAAACACATAATAGCACTGTATGTACATTAGAAGCCTACTAATAAACTATTAATGTAGCCTGTACTACATGTATGAATGAGACCAATACAAATGCTTTGGGATATACTGTGGTTGCCGTCTTGTAGGTTACCTGACCCTAATGTTTACCAGTGATGTAGTTTGACCCCTGTGAAAGCACTTATGTACATAGGTATTGTTTTCTGCTGACATTTGTACAAAGTCTCCTGCCATCTTGACACAAATTTCTGCACGAACATCTTCTTCATCTCTGGTTGCAGCTTCAGTGATCTAGTGGGACAGTGTAGTGTCCATTGGTTGCACAATTTGGAATTGAGCAGATACACAGATATCTGGATACCATTTGCCTGCTTTCTGATCCATACTGAGGATTTGGACAAACTGCTCACTTTACATGTTATATTTCATCTACTATATAGGAAACAAGTATTTGAATCTGGACGCCCCATAAGTTTCAGTGTGAGGGACTGGCATCTTAACCAAGTTTTTGCACCTTCCCTGAGGCCCAGTCTGATTGGGATAGGCTGCAGGCCCCAATGTCATCTTGCGATAATGACGATGGATGGCAGGACATTTTTCTTTTTCTTGGGTACAGTTCAATACCTGACTGAGCATGAACTTTACTGCAGCAGCTAGTGGTGAGTGTTGCTAGCATTTAGCATTGGTGTGGCCCCCTCCCCCACTTCACATTTAACAGGCGACTGCAGTGGGCCGTGGGAGAGTGGCTAGTGTTCATAAGGACTTCTCTCTGTACGCACCTGGGGGGGGGAGGGGGGGAGGGGGGGGTCATGAGTTGCTGTAAGGCATTTCACTACAATAATTCTCAAAACTGTAATAGAAAGCTTTTCCTGAGTAAATTCCAGGGAGAAATTATGTATACAGTGCATCAGACAGTTGCAGTTCTGTGAAACTTTCATTTAAGCTTTGACCTTTCAGGCGTTCTGTTATTTATTTTTTTTTAAGCAAAATAATGAAGGATCCTACTGCTAAAAACCCTTATACTTTTGAAAGTGCAAGTGCTTTGTCTGAGTATAAATATAATCTTACCTATATGTGTAATTAAAGTCAACCTGCATAATCAGGCGCATTTTGAGAGCAGCCCATCTCCTTTTCTGTTTATGCTATGGTTTATTGACTCGTAAGCATCCGCCCCTGCCCCCACCCTCAGCATTAATATTCATGTCTTCATTGTGTTGCGTTGTTCTGCTGATTAATGCTGTCTGTCAATTATTTACAGATCCAGTGGTGTTGTGGAAGTTCCCCCAGGACTTCGAAGACCAGGTTGGCAACGTAAAATGAACTTTCTTTTTATGTTAAAATAAACTCCCCTCCTCCCCCCACCTCTGAGCCAGCCATGCTAAGGCAGACATTAATGAAAAGCATCAAGAGGGTCTTCAGTAACTGACGTACGGATAATTATCACGCAGCCGTGGCAGGAACATGTACCCTCTTGCAGTTACAGTGCTCCCACTGCAATGTGGTTCATGCGTTTGTAAGTCTGGGCACCCACTCTTTCCACTCTCCACCCCATGGTCGGACATGGGACGGTGTCTGCGTTGCATTGGCTGGTCTACCAGTTTCTCTCTAAATATAGATATCATGCCTGGTTTTGCAAGTTGATGGTTGTTAATTAAAATAAAATTCTTTGTATGAGTCATGTTGTCTACTTTGGAGGTGGTGGTGGTGAAGCGTAGGATGCATTTGTGCACCATGTTCACTTTTGACTCACTTTGTGGATGAAAACAAAAACACCTTCCTATCTGTTATTGTGAGGGTGAGGTTTAATTTGCATGCAATGATTAAATAGTGATCAGAGAGACACATTATGATTATAAAACCATTGGAACCCCAGTTCTACTCAATTTCCCAATACTTTTATCTTAGTGTAGTTATTATTACATTAGCTATGTGAAGTATTTCATTGCTAAATGTCACAGTAGTTTATTGCATCCTGTTATTTTTAAGCACTCGAAAGATCTGCATATAGAATAACTTTTTATAGGAATAAAGTATAGAATGAGAAGGCTTAGCTGACCAGTATTAAAGTTTTATTTTTTAATGCCCTTCACATATAACTAATAGTTTGTTAGCCTGGTGGTTTGTTAAGTAGCCTTGTTTTATTTATATTTATTTCCGTGGTCTTGCATTTATGTCCCACCTAGATACTCCCCTTCGTGAAAAGCCCCCACGGCCGCACGCTGTGGCTGGCCAAAAGCGGGGCAGCCGGCGTACTTTTGACAAGATCGTTTTGGGACGAGGTGGCCATTTGCATGGCTTTGTACGGACGGATCGGCCTTTTGCGTGTGAACATAAAGGCTCCCTCCGCTCGGCTCATTATCGGGATTATGCCGCTTCTCGCTTTTTCCTTTTCTCCTTTTCTTATGGCTCTGCCTCCTCTGTAGCTGCAGAGCTCTTTTCTCCCTAAGTTAGCCAGCATATGGCAGCAGCAGACCTGGGCTCTGCAGCCCTCTTTTGTTTGTCTTGTTATTGTTGCTGAATGTAATGACAGTTGTAGGCCGTAGATCGGGGTGGAGGGGTTAGCTTACCCTGGGGAGTGGAGAGAGGGAGACAGAAGTGTGGATTATGGAAATATGAATTGATTTTTTTTTTTTTTTTTACGTAAGCAGCACTCCCTACTCCGTTGAGATGGGGCTCAAAGGAGAACAGACTGGGGACTGGAATGTTGGGGTGACGGGATGTGAAATAAGGAGGAGCGGCGAAGGGCTGCGGCGGCCTGGCCGCTCCCAGCTGCCGTGCGGGAGAAGCGCAGGCAGACGTTTCAATTGTGACAGGGCAACTTGCAAATGAAGCAGACAGATGGAAATCCATCCCTTCCCTTTAAGATCCCTTCCTGAACATCAGAAAATCCCTGAATAACGTTGTGCGTGCCGACTGACAGTAGGGTCAAATCCCTACTGTGTTTTTTTTCATATATATATATATATATATATATATATATATATATATATATATGAAAAAATCACACACACACCCCACACATACTGTCTGGGATAGCCGTGCCTTCATATATCTTATCTTTTCAAATTTGACATTAATAAAATGGTCAGTGTGTGGTCTGTTGTTTGATAAATTAATTTTCTTTCTTTTTTTATTGCTTTTGATTGTTCATACATCCCACAATTGCTTCTCCTGGACTGTGGTGCATATATTTAATTTTTTATTGTACAGAAATACAAAGATATTTTTGTTGTGTTTGGTGTGAAAGTGCTGCTGGCACCCCAGTCCTTCCTGCTCCATGTTCAAGCTGCTCTCTACAGTATTTCTTAACCCTCCATGGGATCTTCACTCTTTCTCATGTTGAAAGACTGAACGTTGACCAGTGCAGATTATTTTTGCACGTTATGTGGATTATGGTGGACTACACAGTTCTTCATGCATCTGTGGTGAAAAGTGCATGTGTGTGTGTGTGTGTCTGTGCGCGCGGGTGTATTTTCCACCCCCATGAAGGCCATCTCACACTATAAGGTTTCCCAATACTATAACATATTTTATCATCATGTATTACCCTTAAAGCAAAATTGGTTTTGGCCTGTGTACTAGGAAGTTCCTTTTTGCATTTGCACTAAACAGGAAGTTAATTCTCATTGTATTTCCCATATCACATAATTTGCTTCTGTCCTTTACATTACTTGTACAGATCAGTTTTGGTTATATAATATTGGAGAGAGTGGTCAATAGTGTGATGTATGGGGCACTGCTTCATAGTTCGGTCCCATGTTGGACTCCGCTTGATTGGTTCCTCTTCATGGTGCAGCAAACTTCAGGTCACTGTTGGGATGAAAAGGAGAATGATTTGGACACAACAGGACTGCCAGTGATGATCCTTTTCATTGTGGCAGTGTGGGCTGACCCATGTAAAATAAACATTGTGATGTTAAAGTAGGAGATCTGTTGTGTCAGTGCATACTGACAGCCATGTTTGGATGTATGTGTGTAATTACACGTTTTGTATAAGCATTCGGGTCATTTTGGAGTGTGACCCCGCTGTGTGGCTCACACAGGTGTACTGAGCTTCATGCTTGGTGGAGATGCCTTGTTGTTCATGGAAGGTGATCATGGGTGATCAGTGGTAGTATGTGTGCAGGGAATGTTTGCACTTAGAAAGCATGTGAAAGGTTTTTATTTGGTTCATCTTGAAGACGAGATTGTTTTGGAAAAACAAAATTTCTCACAATTGGTTCCATTTGGGAATCCTTGTTTATTTCTTTGTAACATTCTGGTTATATTTAGTGACGTGATGTTAGTCACACTCTAGAGAATGCATGACAATATTGTGTGGTATGGAGGAAAGAAGCAAATGAGTAGGAAACTCATGTGTAATCGTGGCACCAATGTGGAACTCAAAATTGTGATGAGGTACCCCAACACAAGGCTATGCACTTGCCGTGAATGAACCCCACCTAATGCCAAATGGATAAAACCCCAGCAGCCATGTCACCATTCTGTTTTTGTGTTTATTTATTTACGTTTGGCTGTATTGGCTGAAACTGTATCTTTACTCAGCATAGAAAAATACCAGCTGTATTCCATTCAACCATATTCCACTGAGATCTGTAAAGTGTTTTCCTCTTTGAAGGGTATTTGTGGTCTGTAGGTACAGAGGTAGTGTTTAGTTAGAACTTCTGTTAATAAAAAAGGAATTTGTATAAATACAAAAAGGTGCGTATTCAAGGAAAATACACTATTTAGCTAGCTGTCGTGAATATTCTGATAACAATAGTAAATGTGGTGTTAGGATAAAGCAGTAAGTCTATCTGAGGGCTGCCTTTCCCAGTATGGTTATATCACAAGGTCAAACTTCCTGCTTACCAATGTGTTGTTCCTCTATGAGCAAGGTGATTTTTCTGGTGCTTGGATTCCATATTCATCCTGAAAATGGACTTGATTTTTCCTTATCTGACAGTGCATTGTCGACACTATCGTCTAGAATAAAGGTTAAGATAGTGCTGTACATGGAAATGTGCTTTTGTTTATTCATTTAGCTGTGCAGCAATGCGGACTACATATTTCTGCAGCAGGAGGGAAGTGAGAAATATGGCGCAGTTTCAAACTGATGCTCTGGCGACTAGCTTAACACTTTCCGTCTTTCTAGATGTTATTTTGATGGCCATGTCAGCTATTTGCAGTACCTCCAGTTGAAAGCCTTTTTTTAACCAAAGGCCACGTGTTTCCCTGCACCCTACAGTAACAAATTATTGTTCTAAATTCACCACGTTTTACATGGTTATTAATATTGCTGCATTGACCATGTTTATCCTTGTTTTATTCTTTAGGTAGAACTGTGTATGTTTGTCGAGTGGCTTCCTCCATTTTGTGTCTAAACATGCAGCCTTTCAAAATGTCATGTAAACTAGGTTCATTGTCATTGTCTGTAGAGTGTGCTTGGCATCGGTAGGAAATTTTTGGGATGGGGGGAGGCGTGTTGTCTAATTGGAGATGGAGAGAGATCCTGGTGCCGGTCTGTTTGGACCTAACAGGTCCTATCAGGGGAGCTTTTAGCATTAGCTTCAGCTTCACACTGATACTGACCCAGAAAATGTGTGTGTGTGTGTGAGAGAGACAGACAGACAGAGAGCATTTCCTTTCTACTTCTTCTCTCCACACCTATTATACAGCAGTCTATAGGCCTGCTGGCTGCTTGCATTTTAAAGAGTAGAGGTTTAAAGACAGGAGTCCCAGGGGAGGGTTTTTGCCAGTAGGGAGAGGGGTGAGAAGGGAGGCCGACCTCCCCCAAGCACGTTTGACAGAATGATGAACTGACTATCACTTACCCTAGGTGTACACTCAAAACGCAACTGCGGCTTGTTTTGGGGAACCTGTTATATAGCATATTCAGTTACTGGCCGTATAGCTCAGAGCTGGTGGTGTTCTTCGTGTGGGACCTCTCCATGTGGCGTGTAACGTTTCCCAATTTCAAGATGATTAACTGCAGTGCTGGGGACAGTCTCCAGACAGCTCTGGTATATGAGCTGCTGCATCTCCAGAGGAAGTCCCTTGTCTAAATACATAAATAAGGCAGGAGGGGGTTGTGATTGCAGACCTCTGCTGTGGGGGGCTCCGCAGAACGAGCCGGCTGTCTTGCTGAGTGATACCCTTGTCTCTACAGTAAATAATTAATTCTCATACTTAGCCCTCAGCCTCTGGTGAGCTGTAAATGTATTCAGCGTCTGATATCCTTTTTCCCCTCTCAAGGAAATTGATAGGGAAAAACAAACGGGCGCAATTGCAGCGGTCACGGGAATGGAAGATTATCGATTGTACTGTTTGCCCGTCTCGGAATTGGCAGCTTGATCACCTACCCCTTAATGCCGGCGGCTAGTCACCGGGAGCTGCCGGTTTGAGGAAGGCGTCTTAATTAGTGCCTGATTCACACTCGAAACATCAGCTGAGGTGACGCAGTGCTAAAATTAATTCGTTGATAATGCAGTTAATAACCGAGCTGGGCCGCAAACCAATGAAAGACTGGCGTACCTTTAAAGCCTGGAGTTACCGATTTCTTAACTTTTTTGACCAATGAAAATAGTGCAGTACTCATACTTTTAAATATTCACGCGTTTTACAAACAATCATGTGTTTTCTTTGTCTAATTTCCTCACAGTCCTATCACCATGTTAAAGTTTTGTAAACTGTACATCTCATTTCTCTAATAATGCAAGACGGCCATAGGGAGCACTAATCGGCTGAATTGTGCACGCGGACACTCCGCACCCTTGCAGCTCCGCCGCGCGACTGGCCGCATCCCTTCGCGCTCGCGGTACGCTCGGCGTCTCCAGGGCGGCGCTTAGTGTTAACAAATGGATGGCTTTGATGGTGAAAGAGAAACTGTGATTTTCATCCTGGCAGAGTGTAGTTTTTTTTTTTTGTTTTCCCACAGAAGCCGATCTTGGGCCTTATGTATCACGAGGAGCAGAGCGCCGGCGAACATCTTGGAGCACATGCGTAATAGTTTTTAATAACATGCGTGTGTATGACAGCTTAATAGCCGCCCAGTAATCCAGCTTGCCATACAAGACGCTGATGTACCGCTGAGTACTGTCACCAGCCCCTGAAATCCTGAAAGTGCCTCCCTCGGTTTCATTTGCCTTACTCATCCCTATTTTCCTATTTTTCACCCCGATTCTCTCACTCTGGTGGCTCAATTTATTTATTTCTCCAGCAGGGATCAGGCGAAATTCCCCGTGGCTAGGCTACGGTGCGAGTATCGGCAGACGTAGCTAACCCATATGGTGAGGCGCTCCTTGTAAAATCCATATGCTGCTGGTGAAGGGAGTCTCGCTAGGGAGGTGTTAAGAAGTAATACCCTTTAGGCTAGGCCTCTTACTCCCGGCGCTGCCGAGGCATTGTCACCGCAATCTGGCATCGCCACCGTCTTCTTCTGCTTTGACAGTCATCTCTGACACACATACGTAATCATGGCTAATTATTTAGAAACTCATACCACGGAAACGGCACCTTGCTCTTTTTGTCGTCTTTTAGTAGTAGCACTATGTGATCCCCTCGCACCAATACACTCTACTCCCATCAGTCTTTTATTATTATTATGAGTATTTGTACTGCGCACGTGGTTGTGAAATTAGTTTAATTTTTTTTTCTCCCCCCCACCCCTCGCAGGAAGTGCTGCAGACTGTGCCCAAGTTTTGCTTCCCTTTTGACGTTGAACGGTAAGTCTCCGCCCCCGGTCATGTTTAGCTAGCCGTGTAAAGTGAAATGCCTCGTGTATGTAGATCTCACCAAAAACCGCAATGTCATTGCATTGTGGTCAGTGAATGCTCGCTGCATTTCCCCCCATTTTTTATTGAATAGTGTTCCATGCAAGACTTAATTATGTTTAAATGAGATTTTGCAAATAAAACTGAACTTGACATTAAGATATGGCAACATAAGTTGCAATAAATTAGTATAGTAAAATGGAAAGTCTTTTTTTTAACACGTGTAGTTCCGCCATGGGGGGCTGCACGTCTACGAACATAAACACTACTTCTATTGGCGTACTAAACAGGCTTTGCCGAGTACATTTGTCACATAGTAAATAGTCGTTTTAGTACCACTAGCCGTTCTGTGGGGGGCGGGGAATTGCTTTCTGCTAGAGCTTTACTGCTGCCATCTAGTGGGCGCAGGAAAATTCACGCAACCCCTAAGATGTCTTGCTTTATCTTAAGTATTTCCAGTAATAGGTTTCTGAAAAAGTTATGAAAATGATAATGTTAGGATATTTGTTAATATAGGGAAGTTTTGCTAGTTTATTTATTATATGTGGGCTATGAAGAGAATTAGATTATGGATGGAAAATTAACACTGCACTATATGCATTTATGTTTAATGCTTTGGTATGACCATCAAGAGAGTTAGTAGGTTAATATTTTGGTATGATTTTTGAAAATGATGGACCTCATTTCAAGGTACCTTTTTTCCTTTCCTCCCCCTCTCCTGTTAATCTCTTCTGCATTTCCAGGGTTTCCCAAAATCAGGTCGGCCAGAACTTTACCTTTGTGCTGACAGACATTGAAAGCAAGCAAAGGTTTGGATTCTGCCGTCTGACTTCGGGTTGCAAGGTCTGCATTTGCCTTCTCAGGTATGCAAATGAATGAGTCACTTTAATTAGTCAAACTTCAATTCAGAGAAATGTAAATTTGCATGTAATTGTGAAAGTGCTACTGTCATTTCTGGAAATTATTCAAGAATTCTCTGTAAAGCCCTAGTTACACACATGCTGTGTGACTGACCGTTATACAATATCTAGCTCAAAGACAGCTGCTTGACATTAAATAGCAAGCTGGTGGCAAAATTGTTTCAAGTGTGTAAAATTTATCTAGAGAAATAGACATTTCTGTCTGTTCCATCATTTATTTTGTTAATTTATTTTTAAAAGATTGTTAAAAGGTTTAGTGTTTTGCCTAGATGTAACATATAAAATTATTGCGTGCTACTGGTAGACAGATGCCCCCCCATTCTCTTGATGAACTGTTGTCCAGATTCCTTCTCCAAGTCCAGCCAAGACAGCCTTTTATTTTTCCCTCGTTATGTGGTTACTGGCACAAGTGTGGTAGAGACAGTTCGAGGATAATTATGCGCGCGTCTCGCTGCCAATTAGCAGAAGGTCCCCCTCGCTGATTTTTTACATGGTAATTCATTTGACATATGATGTATAAAATGCATTATGCATTTTGAGTAGCTTGCTAGGATTACCAGATTAATAATACAAAATATGCAGGAAGTTATAAAATGCTTTTTGAAAAAGGCATTGAATTTTATCCCCCCCCCCCCCGATTCCTTATTTTTGTTGTGTGTCTTTAATTTTATTAATTTAAAAGGATATCCTGACAATATCAATTGTTATTTTTTAGACGTAGCTGATTACTAAAAGGGAAATCACAAAAAAATATGAACAGGGATAAAAGTAGCGAACAATAAAATATGTATTTATAATGTAAGAAATCTAAAATTGCACAAATTTTTATTATGATTTGTGAGTTACCGTAAATTGTGCCAGTTTTGTACCAGTCCTTAAATGCCATTTAATTGCCCTGTAAATAACCCAACGTCTCTGAGATGGGAGGCCCAGCAAAAAAAAAATCCTGTGCGATTCCTCTTTTCTTTGGATTCAGATAATGTATATTTTAATCTCAAAAAAATCTTTTGCCAACAAAATGAAAAAGACAGACTTTTATCCGGCGTAATGTAAATGTGAGCCATTAAAGTGTTCTTCCGTGTTTGATTGTTGAAGCACTGGGGACTATGAACTTGTCACCTGTGCTTCCACCAGGAAATGCCCTAACGAGAGGGACAGTTTTTACATGGGCGGGCCTTTGTGGTGGTTCGCCTCGACCGCAGGCTGAAAGGCTGGGGTCCCTTTAGGCAAAACCGCTTTAAAAGGCAAATGTTTCCATTTTGCACTTTATATGTATTTTTTCTGTCATTCTTTTGCACTGAAAGAAAAGGCCCCCAGACATTTTTAAGTTTGTGGATGAAAAAGCCCCCCCCCAACAATTTTTATTTGATTGCTAAGATTTGGAAAACTGTTACAGATCATCTTTTTGTAAGTGGTCCCGTAGCAGCTTCACATAAAACACCTCAGTTTCTTTGCTTAACATTTTGACCCGGGAGGAAAAAATGTGTAATCGGATCTGAGACGGAATTGGTAACAAGGTGCAAGCAGACTACCAGAAAATGTCCCTTTATAACAAGTGATTTAAAACCTCTTTAAAGAAAAAAAAAGAAAGATGTAAAAGATAATATTGTGTTAAAGACTTTGAATACTTTGTTTCAAGGAGGGGGAGAAGTCACATCTTTAACATTTATAATGTGTGATGCTAAAAATAATAGAATATGTAAAAGTCGCAATACTATGAAACTGACACTGAGGTATTTTAAGTATTTAGCAGGCTTTTGCTTGCATTATTGTACATGCATAATTCAAGTGAAAAAATATAGTCTCTTCTGTTGGGTTAAAATAAATGCTGTTTTTCTAATTGGCAGATATATATATAATGCCAGGCCTTATGAAATTTCACAGAGAATCAGATGCCAAATTAAAACAGCTCGTTCATTTTTAAGCTAAAATGCATAAAGTTTTCTGAGCACCACTTCAAATGGGTGACTTAGAATTTATGGTGTCATCAGGTGGCTGACAGGGCCCCAGAGAGGTATAGGGTGAGCTTGTTTTTGATTGGCTGATAGCTGTTTGTGTGCGCATGTGGGTCATGTATATATCACATTGAGGGGACCTTATGTCCCCATAATTTGATAAAAATCTTATATTGACATTGTGGGGACCACAATAGGGTCCTCACAAGGGGAAACTCAATATTATAAAAATTGGTTACTGCAATCAAAAAACTAAAAATGTCAAAATCTTGTATTTTGTTTGGTTAATTATGGTTAAGGTTGGGGCTGGATAGGGACTAAGGTTGTCATGGTTGGGATTAGGGTTTTTCCTACAGAAATCAATGAATGGTTCCCAAAAAGATATGGATAGAAGTTTGTGTGCATGCGTGCGTGTGTGTGTGTGTGTGTGTGTGTGTGTTTTTTATGTAGTTCTGAAACAATGTGTATTTGAAAGTGCAGGCGGGACTGTGGCACCAAACATACTTCAAGATGATAAACGTTCATGATTTGTAGATACAAGTGAATAGTAGGAGTGTTGGAACTTTTAAGCCTTAAAGAAGAAATATGTTACATTTGAACAGAGCTGCACAGCATATTTTACTGTAGATATCTTGCTAAGTTAAGGTTCGCTGCTCATATTCCAGTAATTTATCATTTGTTTTGGCTTTAAAACAAAAGATTTACTACCCCTTCATTTAGGAGTATAATGAGTCAAGGCTTTGAGGCTTGGTGAGCTTATTTTGGGGGGAAGACTTGCTTAAAGACCCCCTCAAAATGAAAAATGAAGGATTTAAATTCAAGATTCAAGAGCCTTGCATTTAAAATGGAGGACGGGGCGGGGACAAGATAATGATTTGGCTCCATTTCTAAACCCTTAGAATCTGGATACCTCTGCATCTTTACATTTATGCTGGTACTTTACCGCCACAGATTTTTAACAAAATTAATTTTACTATAAGCCTGTATGAGACTGATAGAGTAATTATAATATGTATGTCAAAAGTTTCTATATTTTTTGTGGTTTAAATTTTTCCTGATTGGGTGATTTTCCCTAGAAATAATTTAATATAACATGTCATGTATGTGTATGTTTGTGTGTGTACCAAGCTGTCTACCAAATTTTATTTTCATTATTTTAACATTTTATTCAGACTTTCTTAACAGACATGCACCACACAAATCTGAAATAAAATGCTATAGCTGAATAAAAGATCAATTGTATTTTCTTGATTGTGGGTATAAACTTTGCTTCAAATTAAACCGCAAATTAATCTCATTATAATATCAGCAGTAAAACAGCACCTCTTACCTCCTTGTTAATATAGCAACAGCAGCAAGTAAAATCATCATTATGCTGTTGACAAAAATACCCTCCCCAGCACAAAATATAAGATATGCTTTTGCAGTCTGGGTTCATATATTTTGGGTTCCATTGTGGCCATTTCAAAAACTAATTTAATGTAAAGCGGGAAGTGCTTTAATGTGTTTTAAAATTGAAATCCAGCCTTTTTCAGCAGTGTGTCATGCACAAGTGTGCTGCTTGTGTCGTTACATCTGGGAGCAACATGCTTGTAAACAGTAGAATCTGTTCTCATTTACTGCAGAGCACAGTGGCCTACTGATGTGTTGTTGCAAGGACAAACTGCTCCTCCTTTAAATGTACAGAGATGACAGGAATTCTAAAAAAATACCACTGATTTAACTGTACATTAATAGGGAGCAGTATAGCGTAACTCCTCTGGAATGATCCGATGCCAGGCCAAATGGGAGAATAGCACAGATACGAGCTAAGCCTGTGATACCATCAAGATATCAAATGAAAGATGGTGTTTTGAGTTGAACATTTATGGACTGGGTTGATGCTCTCACACAGTATTATTTTTTATAATTATATGTTTGTTCCTGTTTTTGTTTTGTTCATCCTATACCATTGCAATCACAAGGGTGCTGTTAAGGTGATTATGGAGAGAACAAAACTGATATCCAGCAAACTGGAATGGAAAGGTCAAAAAATTTCTTGTTTGTTTTAAAGACAGAAACTGCTAAATGTGTGTGTGTTTAACTGAATGCAATGTGTTCTCTCTCTCCTCAGTTATCTCCCATGGTTTGAGATTTACTATAAGCTGCTAAACACACTGGCAGACTACTTATGTAAACACCAGGTGAGCACTTTGAGGTTATTTTGATACACAAATGGGTTTAATTGGCCTCTGTACAGTTTATCCATTCAGCAGGTAAACTTCCCTTGTAACAGTAGCTCTGTGTTGCCACTGCAGCCCATCCCCACCCCATGGCAAACACATATAATTTAATTAAAACATTTATTTACATATATCATATTCCAGAATGCCGTTTAGATTTAGCTAAGCCTGCTGCCATTTAAAGTTGTTTTTTGCTAAATTATGTGGCTTAACATGGCAAGACTGATTACGATTATTCATATGACACCTTGGAGGGGAGAAAAAGTAAAAAGTGCAGATAATTACTATTTGAGTGGGGCCTAAATACACGTTTGAGGTCACCAGTGGTGTTGACTTTTCACAGGCCACAGTCAATAAAAGAATTAAATTTGGGGTTTATTGGGAAAGAGAGTATTGGGGGGGGGGTTGTGTTCAGCACTGTTATTCTTCATATAACAAGAAATGTATAACTGGAATAATCTGATTCCATGTGAGTAGTGTGTCATGTAGCTGCATATATGAAATGTCCTGATAATAAAAGGTGTTGGGGTGTAGTAAGAGCTTCATTTCCTTTTCTAAAATCCATTTGTAGACTAACGGGTCGATTCTCCCATGCACTTAAGTGAAACAAGTGCTTAACTGCACTTGTTTCAGTGTACATAAGTGGTAGATACACACTTTGGGCAGAGAAACGCCAAAATATGGGCGTGTGGCTCGTTAATGACCCTTAAGCACATTCTGCCGCTGACTTAAGTGCACTTAGGTGTATTTTTTACTATATACTCTGGAGAGCGGTATTAAGTCACGCGCCTCTACTTGGCGAAACACAATATTGCAGTTTTCAGAAAGTCGAACATGTAACAAAACAAAACTTTCTAACATGTAGCATTTGTTTCTAAATGCATGATACAATTCAAAATGTATATGAATAATTTACATAATTGCATAAGAACATTATAATGCAACAGCATATATAGAAATATAGAAGTATATGTAAACTATATTACCATTAGGCATGATTCAAGTGACATTTGCCTTGTCAACACGCCTAGTAGGTGAATCAACTAGGCTAAGACTGGTCAATTAAAAACATAATTCTTTCAGTTAAAATGAGTTAAAAAAACAGGTTCAAAAGTAGTGTGTCCTTGCAGTAATTAGCTGCAGTGCATGTAGTTGCAGTCCTGCGAGAGTGGAACAGAGACACCTTCGTCTTGACATACTTCTGCTGACCGATACATCGCATGTTTCCAGGTGGATCACCAAGCACTGTTTTGAATTCCATTTCATCCTGTATTTTTGTACACTTACATACAGTTCATACATAGCCTACACTACATACATTAAGACAGGTCCCCGTGGAATTACCTGACTAGGACACTCACCTAATTGGTAACCATAGTATGCTTAATGGGGTAGATGGTGTGGGTATTTAGTGACAGTCACTAACAATTAATGACTCATATTATATTATTGTTGTGCTTAATCGGTTGTGGAGTAAAACAATTAACAATACAAAACAATTGAAGAAATGAATGTACATGTCATTATACTAATTGGTTACGTGCAATAAAGTTGAAAGATTTAAGGGCACTTTATCTAGTTTTGTGTTATTTGATCTTAAAATTGCATGTGATTTTAATTACTTTAACCTATTGGGTATGTAATTTGCTCTGCACAAAATTCAAGCACTGTAACATTTTGTGTTTTGGAGAATGACATAGTAGGGTACTACCATGCTTTCATTTTTAAAACAAAAGTCTTTCTGCTGATTTCAGTTAGGATCACAATGTAAATGAAATAGTCCATGTTCCACGTTCTGCTTGTTGCCAAAATCATTGAGGGTGTAACCCCCTTTTCTTGCTTGATGTATTAATTATGCTTCTTGTATGGCCACGCCTTCTTTTTCGGGTGATGTTCACAATGAAGAATATGGTTTACTCAAAAGTGTGTAACTTTTTAAGTGCTTTTTGACTTAAGTGTTTTGTAAGTTCACAGTTGTATCAGTAGCTTGTGATGTGAAAAAGGTAATCTATACTTTATTGATCCCAGAGGGAAATTCTTTTACATACAGCCGCAAGATACAAAGAGTATGTTACCAATATGCAGAGGTCTGTTTTTTGCTGTCTGTGCTGCTTATGAAAAATGTGTTATGTCAAATGTCCATATTAGTTCTCTTTACAATTTCTTTTTGCTTGTATATGGGCAAACTGATGCAACAGAAGGATTTTTTTAATAAACAAATGGCATTTGGTGATTTGTCAGCTTGGGCGAGAACATTGCCCACTTTATACCTGCTGCTATTAGAGTATAGTGAATCCTCTGTTAGCTCGTGTAGCTTTAAAAGTGTCACAATTCTTCCAACATTTTTATGTTTCAGCTGCAAAATGCCAGTTAGTTAGTCTTTGGAGTGCTTTTAGCTCCCAGCTCCCTGCCAGACAGTCCACATTTTTGCTCCCTCCCAGCTCCCTGCCAGACAGTCCACATTTTTGCTCCCTCCCCTCTACCAGCCCAGCTATCTGAACCTGTACTTCTGCCCAAATCCACACAG